TGAGATGGAGTTTTGCTTTTATCGCCCAGGCTGGAGTGCAATGACACGATCATGACTCACTGCAACTTCCGCCTCCCAGGTTCAAGCGATTCTCCTGCCTCAGCCTCCTGAGTAGCTGGGTCTACAGACCTATGCCACCACGCCCAGCTAATTTTTGTATTTTTAGTAGAGATGGGGTTTCACCACGTTGGCCAGCATTGTCTTGATCTCTTGATCTTGTGATCCGTCCACCTCAGCCACCCAAAGTGCTGGGATTACAGGCTAATTTGTTGATTTTTTATAGAGACAGCGTCTCACCATGTTGCCCAGGTGGTCTCAAACCTGGACTCAGGTGATCCTACTATCTCGGCATCCCAAAGTGTTGGGATTACAGGCATGAGCCACTGTATCTGGCCTATTATGGACTATTTCAGACAAGACATTCAGATTAGTCTGTGGGGTCTCTTAACCTGTTTTGTTTTGTTTTGTTTATTTGTGTCATAGTGTGATCAGATGTTTTAGTTTAGAAACTCCTAGCCAGGGTAGAATCCTCTGTCCTGGACTCTTGGCAAGGTAACTGAGTTTTTTAAAAATGATGAGTTACTGAGAGATTTATTTTGAATACTTGAAAAGGCAGGATGGTTAATATAGTAAGTACAAAAAGGCCATCTGAATATGCAAGAATACTCCTGAGGGGTTTATATTGAGGAGATATAAATTTTTTATTTATGGTAACCCATAGATACCAATTTTTTTTTAATGGAGTCTTGTTCTGTTGCACAAGCTGGAGTGCAGTGGCGAGATCTCGGCTCACTGCAGCCTCCAACTCCTGTGTTCAAGCCATTCTCCTTCCTCAGCCTCCTGGGTAGCTGGGATTACAGGCATGCACCATGACAACAGCTAATTTTTGTATTTTTAGTAGAGATGGGGTTTCACTGTGTGGGCCAGGCTGGTCTCGAACTCCTGAGCTCAGGTGACCCGCCCACCTTGGCCTCCCAAAGTGCTGAGATTACAGGCATGAGCCACTGCACTCAGCCAATTTTTGTTATAGCTTCTAAATATCATTCTAAAGTAATTGGACTATAACTTGTTTCAGTAGTCCATGTTCCTTTTCATCCTTGATGTCGCTAGGATTTTTTTGAGGCTCTAGGAAATATATGTAAGAGTAGCTAAGTTACCAGAGACCAGAGGTACATAGAGTAGGTATGCCAAGGTTAATAGTATTAACTATAGTTATAAATTAATATATAATTATATATGTAATAGAACTATAGTTAGTAGTATATATAATAATAACCCATAGGATTTAGGGCCTAGATAAATAAATATAGCAGATACAGTATTTTAAATATTTGTAACACACCAATATACTTCCATTGGCACCTCTGCTGAAGCCAGAATTACACTATTTCCTTCATAAAATTTCTTTTTTTTTTTCTTGCCCGCTCCCCAGAATTTTTCCAATTAAGAAAACCTTAAAGGCTGGGTGTGGTGGCTCACACCTATAATCCCAGTACTTTGGGAGGCTGAGGTGGGCAGATAATTTGAGGTCAGCAGTTCAAGACCAGCCTGGCCAACATGATAAAACCCTGTCTCTATTAAAAATACCAAGAAAAAATTAGTCAGGCGTCGTGGTGCATGTCTTTAATTCCAGCTACTGAGGAGGCTAAGGAAGGAGAATCACCTGAACTGGGGAGGTGGAGGTTTTAGTGAGCCAAGATCGCACCATTGTACTCCAGCCTAGATAACAGAGTGAGACTCTATCTCAAAAAAAAAAAAAAAAGAAAGGAAAAAGAAAGCCTTCAAAATCTGCAGAAACCAGATGTGGTAGTTTACACCTATAATCCCAGCACATTGGGAAGATGAGGTAGGAGGATTGCCTGAGCCCAGGAGTTCAAGACCACTGCAGGCAATATAGCAAGACTCTATCTCTACAGATAAATAAAATATTTAGCTGGGCATAGTAGTGCATGCCTTTAGTACCAGCTACAAGGGAGGCTGAGGTAGGAGGATTGCTTGAACCTGGAAGGTTGAGTTTGCAGTGAGCTGTGATCATGCCCCTGCATTCCAGACTGGGTGACAGAGGGAGGCCCTGCCCCAACCAAACCAAATCAAAGCAAACCAAACCTAAATATAATTGCTAAGATAATAGAATAAAACTTCCCTGAACTAGAGAATGACTTTTATCTTCAGATTAACTGAAATGGTTCACTCATTCCCAAGCTGGTGGTTTTAAAATATGCCTACAAATTCTTTTTGTTTTGGTTTTTTGAGACAGTCTCACTCTTGTCACCCAGGCTGGAGGGCAATAGCACAATCTCGGTTCACTGCAACTTGTGCCTCTGAGTTAAAGCAATTCTCCTGCCTCAGCCTCCCAAGTAGCTGGGATTGCAAGTGCCCACCACCACACCCAGCTAATTTTTGTATTTTTAGTAGAGATAGGGTTTCATCATGTTGGCCAGGCTGGTCTTGAACTCCTGACCTCAGGTAATCTGCCTGCCTTGACCTCCCAAGGTTCTGGGGTTACAGGTGTGAGCCACAGCACCTGGCCTACATGTACCTTTTTTTTTTTAATTTTACATTAAGTTCTGGGATACATGTGCTAAATGTGCAGGTTTGTTACATAAGTATACATGTGCCATGGTGGTTTCCTGCACCTATCAACCCATCATCTAGGTGTTTTTGTTTTTTTTGAGACAGAGTCTCAATCTGTCACCCAGGCTGGAGTGCAGTGGCCTGATCTCTGCTCATTGCAACCTCCACCTCCCAGGTTTAAACTATTCTCCTGCCTCAGCCTCCTGACTAATTTTTTGTATTTTTAGTGGAGATGGGAATTCATCGTGTTAGCCAGGATGGCTTCCATCTCCTGACTTCGTGATCTGCCCGCCTCGGCCTCCCAAAGTGCTGGGATTACAGGTGTGAGCCATGGCACCCTGCCCCACCATCTAGGTTTTAAGCACTGCATGCATTAGATATTTGTCCTAATGCTTTCCCTCCCCTTTCCCTCCACTCCGGACAGGCCCCAGTGTGTGCTATTCCCCTCCCTGTGTCCATGTGTTCTCATTGTTCGACTCCCACTTATGAGTGAGAACATATGGTGTATGGTTTTCTGTTCCTTTGTTAGTTTGCTGAGGATGATGATTTCCAGCTTCATCCATGTCCCTGCAAAGGACATGAACTTATTCTTTTTTATGGCTGCATAGTATTCCATGGTGTATACGTGCCACATTCTCTTTATCCAGTGTTATCATTGATGAGCATTTGGATTGGTTCTAAGTCTCTGCTATTGTAAATAGGGCTGCAATAAACATATGTGTGCACGTGTCTTTATAACAGAATGATTTATAATCCTTTGGGTATATATAGCCAGTAATGGGATTGCTGGGTCAAATGGTATTTCTGGTTCTAGATCCTTGAGGAATCACCAACTGTCTTCCACAATGGTTGAACTAATTTACACTCCCACCAACAGCGTAAAAGCATTCCTATTTCTCCACATCCTCGCCAGCATCTGTTGTTTCCTGACTTTTTAACGAGTCATCCAACCACCAATGTAATAAGAATTGGTTACCAAGTGTCCCTACCAGTCTTCCATCACGAGGGAGAAACGGACTGCAGACAAACCTAGCACCCCTTGGGCAGTTTAATTCGTACCATAAATACGTAGGCACCGTAAGGCACGTGCTTCTCCAGTTAGGGCTTTTTCAACCCTTTTGGGGGCACAAGGTGACCTTGGATCCTGATACAAAAACTTCGTAAACTTCTCTTCGTTTCTGGTCGGCCCATGGCCCACGAAAGCAGCAGCATGACACAATTCCCAGCCTAGAGTTCAGGAACTGCCTGTCATCAGCACAACCACGAAACCTACAGCCGCCGAGACTACAGACCCCCGCGTGATTACATCACTCTACCGCCAGCGCTGGCCTAGAGCAAACCGCTGTCGTGTGACCGTTCGTGTCCAATGACCGAGGCCCACGCTTTCCAGACAGCCGCATGCGCTGTCACAAAGCCCGAGCTCCCGCGGCGCCCCGCCCAGGCCGCACGGTGCGCCTGCGTTAATCCTCCCCGAAGGTTCCGGCCGCCAAGATTGCGAGTTCCCACCAAGCGTTGCTTCCGGACTCGGCCACTGGAGCGTGTTCCTGATTGGCTTGCTCTGGAGGCTAGGAAGGGACCTGTTAGAGACTGGGACCACTTCCTGAAGAGCGAGGCAGGAAGTTATATCCCTTTTTGGAGTCCTGTAGAAGTGCTCTGTGCTGCACTGGTATCGGCGAGAGCTGGAGGTGTTGGGTCGGGAGACCCGCCGGCCGTTCGGTCCCGCTGCAGGTAGGAGCTGATTTCCATCGCGGCACCACGGCCCACACCTCCAGCCCCGAGCCCGGCGCGGCAGCCCGGGGGTCTCCTTCAGGCTCCTTGACGCGGCTCCAGGGGGCACCTACCCAGGCATCCTCTGGGCCTCGAGCCAGGGGACTGGGTCCCGGCTTCAGCACTCCCGGCTGCAGTAAGAAGTGCCTTTGTCGCCCTGCTCCCTGCCACCATCCCGTGAACCACCGAAACCCTGGTCCAGCGCGACAGCCTTGGACCTGGGACTGGACGGATCCAAAACGCTCAGCCCCGGCTCCCCACAAACGGGACTCTGTATCGTCTCTGATATGTCGCCCACCATCTCTCACAAGGACAGCAGTCGGCAACGGCGGCCAGGGAATTTCAGCCACTCTCTGGATATGAAGAGCGGTCCCCTGCCGCCGGGAGGTTGGGATGACAGTCATCTGGACTCAGCTGGCGGGGAAGGGGACAGAGAAGCTCTTCTGGGGGATGCCGGCACTGGCGACTTCTTAAAAGCCCCACGGAGCTTCCGGGCCGAACTAAGCAACATTTTGCTGCTACTCTTTCTTTACGTGCTTCAGGGCATTCCCTTGGGCTTGGCAGGAAGCATCCCACTCATTTTGCAAAGCAAAAATGTTAGCTATACGGACCAAGCTTTCTTCAGTTTTGTCTTTTGGCCCTTCAGTCTCAAATTAGTCTGGGCCCCGTTGGTTGATGCGGTCTACATTAAGAACTTCGGTCGTCGCAAGTCTTGGCTTGTACCGACGCAGTATATACTAGGAGTCTTCATGATATATTTATCCACTCAGGTGGACCGTTTGCTCGGAAATACCGATGGCAGAACACTCGACGTGGTTGCTCTCACTGTGACCTTCTTTTTGTTTGAATTCTTGGCCGCCACTCAGGACATTGCTGTGGATGGTTGGGCGTTAACTATGTTATCCAGGGAAAACGTGGGTTATGCTTCTACTTGCAATTCCGTGGGCCAAACAGCGGGTTACTTTTTGGGCAATGTTTTGTTTTTGGCCCTGGAATCTGCCGACTTTTGTAACAAATATTTGCGGTTTCAGCCTCAACCCAGAGGAATAGTTACTCTTTCAGGTAATGTATTTAAGCTATTATGGCGTTAGGTTTATTTATCCTTTTGACAGAGTGTATGACGTTGGAGGGAAGCTGATTAATTTACTGGAAATCATTTTATGGGAGATAAGGTAAGTTTTGTGTTTCGTCAAAATGAGCTTCTTTGAAGTATTAAAGCCAAATCGAATGACACTAGAGCAATCAAATGATCAGCACTCTGCAAGCAGGAAGAGGCAAACCATCAAATAACACAACGAGTCCAGGGATTCATGCACCTTACTTAATACAGAAATGCACATTTTTAAAAAGTGTGGCTCATGTGGTTCACATTTTTCCTTTTGTCTTATTGGTTTTAGGTTTATAGCTCTATACTTTCTGGTCCATTTCTACCCCTACCCTTGTACCCAGAGTCCCTCATCTACCCTTTTAGTGAATGGAACAGGGTTTATTCGTTCAAACATGATTGAATCAGCTAAGGGATGGGATTCTAAGATCTCTTATGAATAAGACAGAGTTCTGCACACAAGAAATCGGAGAGATGAACATTTTAGGAGACTTCAGAGTTGCCAGTTTGTAAGTGCCTTTGGGAGTCAGGTGTCATGTTGCAGGTAACATTTGACTTTGTTCTTGAATAAGATTCCACGAGGCCAGGAAATGGCACACCAGAATGCACAATACAAAGTGAAAGTGCACTGAGGCAGGAAAGTCAAAAAAAAAAAACAAAACAGGACATTGCCTAAATTGTGGAACTGGGTTTGGGAAATAATGCTGAGAAAGGCTGTGACTAAATTAGTAAGATTTTCTTTAATTGCTATGGGAAAGAGTTTAAAGTTTGTCCTGTAAGAAATGGAGGGTAAGTTCTACAAAATTTCCCCTTTTTTCTGCATGAGTAAAACACTTGTAAGTTTTTTCTATTTTTTTCTTTTTTTTTTTTTTTAATTGAGATGGTAGTTGGGGGTGGGGTTCTTACTATGTTGGCTAGGCTGGTCTTGAACTCCTGGCCTCAGGTGATTCTCCCCCTCCTTGGCCTCCCAGAGTACTGGGAGTTACAGGTGTGAGCCACCCCACCTGACCCTAAGCTTTTCTGAGGTCGTTTTTATTATGTTTTTTTTTTTTTAAAAAAAAAAACTTTTGTAACAACTAGAAAACAATTAAAATGACCAATATCAGGAATAACAATGTCAGGAATATAGTGAAATTCTTTATTCTGTTAGTGATGATGAATTTAGGGGATTCCGTTTTGAAATTTAAACAGCTAAACTTATCAGCTTCTGTGCTAGCTTGGCAATTCCCAACAGAGTAAATGTCCAGTTATGTGGGTGGTGGCAGGTGTCACAACTGTATTACCCATTTCCTGCAATCTCTTGCAATCTTATTCATTCTCACACACATCTAACCTTATGTCCACCTCCTCAAACTGCTAGTGAGCCACTATTACTGGTGAAATGATGGTGACAGTACTTTTTCCTCAGTTGTTTGGTGAGAGATACTGCTTTGTACTCAGGCAGATTTGTCTCAATGTTCTGGCACTCCACTCCTCCTTTATGAATATTTCACTGCTGGCTGGGGGCAGTGGCTCAGGCCTATAATCCCAGCACTTTGGGAGGCTGAGGCGGGTGGATCACTTGGGGTCAGGAGTTCAAGACCAGCCTTGCCAACATGGTGAAACCCCGTTTTTGAAATTCCGTCTCAAAAATAAAATAAAATAAAAACAAATCATGGCTGGGCGCTGTGGCTTACACCTGTAATCCCAGCACTTTGGGAGTCTGAGGCGGGAGGACTGCTTGAGCTCAGGAGGTAGAGCCAGCCTGGGAAATACAATCTCTCTACTAAAAATTTAAAAAAAAAAATTGGCTGGGTGTGGTAGCAAAGGCCTGCAGCCCTAGCTACTCAGGAGGCTGAGGCAGGAGGATTGCTTCAGCCCAGGAAATTGTGGCTATAGTGAGCTATGATCCAATTATTGCACTCTAGCCTGGGCAACAGAGCACATCTGTCTTAAAATAAATTAATTAAAATTAAAATAAAATTTAAAAAAGAAATCCAAGCTGGGTGCAGTAGCTCATGCCTGTAATCCCAGCACTTTGGAAGACTGAGGTGGACAGATCACCCAAGGCCAGGAGTTTGAGACCAGCCTGGCCAACATGGCAAAACCCCTTCTCTACTAAAATACAAAAATTAGCTGGAAGGGGTGGTGCTCACCTGTAATCCCAGCTACTCAGAAGGCTGAGTGGGGAGAATTGCTTGAATCCAGGAAACAGAAGTTGCAGTGAACTGAGATCACACTGCTGCACTCCAGCCTAGGCGACAGTGCCGGGCTGTGTCTCAAAGAAAAAAGAACCAGTCAGCCTAAATTAAAATTCAGTGGCATAATTTTGATCCATTAGGGAACAGTTATGGCTAAGGGAATATAGATATAATAACTGTTGAACTAATAACGGCATTCTCTGGAATGTTTTACCAGTCACTCTTATATTAAGAGAAAATTCCAGTTTAGCACATTAGCAGTTTAGTTTCCATAGCCGGTTTTTGTTTGTTTGGTTTTTGTTTTTTGGTTTTTTTTGAGACGGAGTTTCTCTCGTGTTGCCCTGACTGGAGTGTAATGGCACAATCTCGGCTCAGTTAGATCTCCGCTCACCGCAAGCTCCGCCTCCTGTGTTCAAGTGATTCTCCTGCCTCAGCCTTCCAAGTAGTTGGGATTACAGGCATGCACCACCACGCTCGGCTAATTTTGTATTTTTAGTAGAGACCAGGTTTCTCCATGTTGGTCAGGCTGGTCTAGAACTCCTGCCTTCAGGTGATCTGCCTGCTTTGGCCTCCCAAAGTGCTGGGATTATATGTGTGAACCACTGTGCCTGACCTCCACAGCCTCTTAAATCTTGATTTATCTGAGGCTTTCTCGTTGTAAGTAACATCATCTCCTTAATCATCTGTGGCGACATAAACAGCAGTCCCAGGACAAAATGAAAAGCAGTCCTAGGACAAAGTGAAAATGAAAAGCATAAAAAGCAACAAAGTGATGACAGTATGCGTTCACAAAGTATTTCTAGGCAGTGAATTGTTATTATTTTTGAGATGGAGTCTTACTCTGTTGCCTGGGCTGGCGTGCAGTGGTGTGATGTCAGCTGACTGCAACCTACGCCTCCAGGGTTCAAGCTATTTTCATGCCTCAGCCTCCCAAGTAGTTGGGATTACAAGCATGCACCACCATGCCTGGCTAATTTTTGTGTTTTTGATAGAGATAGGGTTTCATCATGTTGGCCAGGCTGGTCTTGAACTGCTGACTCAAGGGATCAGCCCACCTCAGCCTCCCAAAGTACTGGGATTACAGGTGTGAGCCACTGCTCCCGGACATGTCTTGTTATTTTGAATTTCTTTTTTTTTTTTTTTTCTATGGAATTTGAACTTTGTTCTGCAGGAGATTCTAAAAATAGCTTACTTTTTAATTTAACTGTTTATATCTGTAGTGGACTACTGTTTCTGGTTCAGACATTTTAGTTGAAAGTTAGAATTCCTATAGTTTTATTCTCCTTTTTATGACTGAACATATCACATTTATAACATCATTCTTTCTGGAACTTATTAATAGGATAACTAAGAAAAACCAGTGGTTTTGAGAAAGTTATAGAGTACAGAAAGAATTATATGAAGAAAATATAATTGCTTAGGTGATTAAAGAGAAGCTAAACACTGAGGCAATGTTTAGAAAATCAGAGTATTAAAAGGTTGTGTGTGTGCGTGTGTGTGTGTGTGTGTGTGTGTGTGTGTATATATATATTTTTTTTTTTTTTTTTTTTTTTAATTCTGAAATATGTTCTGGCTGGTGAGGTGGCTCACACCTGTAATCCTATCACTTTGGAAGGCCGAGGTGCGCAGATTGCCTGATCTCAGGAGTTTGAGACCACTCTGGGCGACATGGCGAAACCCTGTCTCTTCTAAAAATACAAAAAATTAGTTAGGTGTGGTGGCACATACCTGTAATCCAGCTACCCGGGAGGTTGAGGCTTGAGAATCACTTGCACCCAGGAGGTGGATTTGCAGTGAGCCGAGATGAAGCCACTGCACTCCAGCCTGGGTAACAGAACAAGACTCTGTCTCCAAAAAAATAAATAAATATAAATAAATAAAATACTGTCTGTAATTAACAGTTTTGATTGTCACAGATAAGTGGAGATGGAATATATTGGGTAGATAGATAATGTAAATGAATCATCTGAGCTGGAGGAGACAGATGATCTGAGAAATCCATGCCCCTTGAAAGGTGAGGAGTGTCAAGTCTAGTAAATTGTAGTTTTGTGACAATAGTATTCCAAGATTGCTAGATCTTAGGAGTAATCAAGAGAAGCTGGAAATTCCTTTTTTATTTCCTAATTTTAAGAACACTTCTTTTTTTTTTTTTTTTGAGACGGAGTTTCGCTCTTGTTACCCAGGCTGGAGTGCAATGGCGCGATCTCGGCTCACTGCAACCTCCGCCTCCTGGGTTCAGGCAATTCTCCTGCCTCAGCCTCCTGAGTAGCTGGGATTACAGGCACGTGCCACCATGCCCAGCTAATTTTTTGTATTTTTAGTAGAGACGGGGTTTCACCATGTTGACCAGGATGGTCTCGATCTCTTGACCTCGTGATCCACCCGCCTCGGCCTCCCAAAGTGCTGGGATTACAGGCTTGAGCCACCGCGCCCGGCCTAAGAACACTTCTTAAGCTTATATTTAAACATATCTTTAGCAGGGCACAGTGGCACGCATCTGTAGAGTGACACACGTCTGTAGTGACAGCCACTTGACAGGCTGAGATAGGAAGATCATTTGAGGCTAGGAGTTTGAGCCTGCAGTGAGTTATAATAGTGTCTGTGATAACCACTGCACTCCAGCCTGGGCAACGTAGCAAGACCCATCTTTAAAAAAATATATTCAATATATTATCTATCTATCTGTTATCTAATCTAATTTATGTCTTCAGGCCAGATGTAGCGTGTAAACTGGTAGTTGAGGCCCTCTCCTCTAGCAGCAGTAGTAACTATTAGAA